CGACCTATGATGTCTATATTACATCTTTTCATTCCACAAGTTGGTCAGCTTTCTGGAGGCGTAAAGACTTCTCAAATTCCAAGTTCCAATTTTCAGTCTCTGTATTGTTTACACTTTCGGGTGGGTCCTAGCAATGTTTTTCTTCGTGGGGATTCTTAGCTGTGTGTGTGGGTAGTTCTGAGCTTATAGGTTATGTTACTTTTTTGTATCTGAGTTCCTACCCTACCCCACTTTCAAATCCGAATTTTTGTAAGAAAAGAGCCGAAAACAGTTATTTCCCGGCAAATGCTGAGACCCTTGGAAATTTCTCCTCTAAGAAATTGTAAACTTTGATTAAGATCCTACAGGATTTTGAAATGGGGTGACTCGTATTGACTTGTATTGCTGTTCCACAACCGACTGTTCCCACTGATTCGTATTGTTCTTCTAGAGACTGGAGTTCCTTAATTTCTAGGAATAAATCAAAAAAGTTTATAAAGTCGTGGGTATTACTATGAATCCGTGCTCCTCTCAACTTGAGGGAAAGTATTATTCCTAGTTTGTCCTTCCGGTCCTGGATTAGGGGCTTGGTCATAGGAGATATCTGATTTTTTACTTTATCTTCATGGATATGTGGATATCTATATGACTTGGTGTACACTCTGGAATCTCATATTTTGTCTTGGTATGGTGTTTGATCTGGTTTGTCAGGTCAGAGACATGTCTGGACAATGGAAAATGTCGGCATACTTCCTACATAAATTTTGTATTGCTTTTCCTTTCTCAAAATTTGGGTGATACGTTCTGATTTCAGGAATCTTGCCATGCGGTGACGAAGATTCCTGAGAAATTATATCGGTATTGTAGATATGAAACTGATCAAGGTCCAACTGGGTGCTAGTGACTGGACTTGTCTGAAGTTCATCAATTTTGTTGACAACTTCAATCCAAGCGAGTTGATAACAAGCAGCAGATGTTAGTGTTTCGTTAATTTCTGCGCTTTGGAGTTCTTGTTCTGGTAGAAGGATTGCACCCTGGGTTTCTTTTACTGGGAGTCGTACTCGGGAAATAGTGTTGGGAACCAATTGGATAGAATAGGGTTTTCATGGTTTCGTAGTATTCTATGGGAGGATGGCATTTTTGGTGATAAGTAACGCGGCTGGCTGGTCCAATTTGGCTTGCAGTAGCTTGAAGTTATCGAGTCCAATGAGGCCTTCAAATGTTTGGTGGCAATTTGCCTTTTTAAATTCATTTGAATTGAACTCTAGAAACATTGGTATGTGAGCGCAATAGTCCTGACTCCTGAGAGTGATTTTGGAAAATTGATATTAATTTTGAATAGCTCAACCTTTGAAGTATTTAAAGGCTACGTCTGGATTAATAAATTATTCTGTAGGACCAGTATCTATAAGGAGCTTTAAAGGTGGATTCGCGTTGGATATGTATTGTAGCTTTTTCCGATCAGTATAATTATGTGGTTTTGAAATAGTTTTGTTTCTGTATGAGTCGCTTCTGGAAAATTTCCTCCTTGAGTGTATTGGTGTTGTTCGAAAGAGCTGTATCTACTCAATCAAAAAAAAAAAATGTATGCGGACTCGCAGTATATTCCCAACCTCAAGTTAACGTCATTCGAATAATAATAATGGGCTCTTTCACTAATTTTTGAAATTGGCATATTTGGATAAAGCAACTAAAAACAGAATTTTCTGTATTTTTACTTTTGAAAAATTCAAAGTCCTTCTTGAGAAAACAGAAAACAAAGAAATACCTCCAAATAAAAACCCAGAATTTATTTCTATGACGTCGCAGCTCGCAATTTGACCGTGTTGCCACTAATTGTCAACATTGAAAATTTGTAATAGATTTAATTCTGAAATGTTGGCAAAATCTCATGAAAAATAGTTAAATTAATTAGTTATAGATTCAAGATTTTATAACATTTTTTTTTTAAATTATGCTTAAATACAATTTAATGCAATTTTTTATGTTTAGTTTTATTTATTTATTTTACGCTGCACTACATTTAGTCACAACCGACAACAGCGCATTCGAACCTTTACGTATCTTTACAGAGCGCAAACACAGCCGAGCCCTTCCTCCTTGCAACGACATAAGCGAAATGAAGAATATTTATGTGACGTCGGCAAATCGGCGCGTTTTAAAATAGTTTGAATTTAGGCACTTTTGATTGCCTATGAAAAACTTATTGAACCTTGTAGAACATTTTTTTTTTGGTATATATGCCTAAAATAGTCCCTCCTTTGAGATTTTATACTTAAATTACGTATTTAAATTTTAGTGAAAGAGCCCATTGTAAAAATGCTAATCATAGATAATTACTTTCTATTGAACACCTTGTAGTTAACTTGTAAAAAACTGTGAAGAACAGAATTTTATTATGATCCTATATTTACACATCAAAAAGCATACATCCTAAATTGGATACCATGTAAAATAATAATTATAACTGCCTTGGTTTCATTGTTAATATAAATGCAATATCATAAGGCGGGGATTAGTTGTCTGTTTGTTTAGTTAACGATGTCATTATTATAAACACTATTACTTAATCATGTCGAATACAAAACGGTTTATTGAATACTAGACGGAAATCAACACTTGCTATTGTATGTAAATTCAGTAGGCACCGAAATGAAGGATGATGATTGTAAATCTTTTGATGCTTTTCAATACAAGATTTTGAATGGCTATTGCTCTTTTAAACCTGAATAATTATGTGCTGAGATTATTGGAGGATATCATACTTATTTATTAGGAAGTAGAGATCATGAAATTTTGGACTACATTATTAATTTAATCAATTATTCAAGTTTAGAATGTTGGATTTCTAAGATTGCGAAAAACAAGAATAGTTGGGGAAACCGGCGGTGGCGGTAGGTAGTTCAAACAAAAAAGGTAGAAAAGAAAAATACGGTAAGCGGAGTATTAAGAACCAGGAAAAGTAGATTGATGGAATACTGCTACAGATTCAGAACGTTAAAATTATACAAGCGTCTAGAAGCAGGACGCCGAACATCGATTCAGAGCATCGCGCATCCGAGTTTACGAATATTATCGATACGAACGACAACATAACCACAGATTTTATTGACAGAAATATTTTTAACAAATAAACATCGATTGGATACTACCATAGAGATACTACTTATTTTTATTTAAATATCTTCTCCTGTCTCGTCTCGTTCGTGATATTCGTTTCCGTCCATGTTTTGCTGCTCGTTTTGCGTGCGCTGTCGTGTACCGTATTCCAAACTCAACAAGTGATAAAACATAAAACTTTTAAATCCTACAATGGCACATTGTGGAGAATGTAAAATGGATTTCTGCAAACCCTCTAGTTTGAGAGCTCACATAAAAAGAAAACACCCAGGTACACACTTTACTATTATGCAATACTTTATTATTTCTGGTTCAATAAATTTTAGATAAACTGGATGAACTTGCACCAATAAATAGACATCCATCTGGTTCTGGTAATCATTTATGTAGTGAATGTGGTAAATGCTTTGCATCATTTGGTAATCTGAGGTTGCATGTTAAGCATAAACATTCCGGTAAGTACCTATCTTCCTACTTAAATTTTAAAAGAAGTTTTTTGATTTTTTTTTTATAAAATAATTTTTTTATGAGGCAATTCTTTTAGATAAACTGGAAGAACTTGCCCCAATAGAAAAAAAAGCTCATAAATGCAACCAGTGCGATTGCGAATTTGGTCTGTTAAAACAATTAATTAAACATAGAAATCAGCAGCAATCGACATCTAATTTCATGAATTCTTCAAGTAGCAGGCCTCACAACAAAAATATACAACCCCAAAGGCGTCTATTTGCAACAAAGCAATGTCGAAAAAAGAAGAAAACCCTAGAAAAGCTTTCAGCCAAGGAGGCAGATGTATTAGCGATTCAGCTTTTATGTAGAGAATAGATACTGTATAATACAGGTACATGAACGCTTTAATGGTTGACTTTAAACTAAAACCAAAAAAAACTAAGTAAGACTATGATAATTATCCTACATATTTTTTGTTAAGTAGATTATAATTTGTATGGGAATAAAAAAAAATATTTAAGCTTTATTATGTGTTTTATTGGAATGTTAATGATTTTTATTGCATGGAGAATGGAAGTAAATAAAGATTGGAAACCTGGAAATAATTCGAAAATGGAAAATATTCAGGATAATTCATTATATTTTTTGTTTAACATATTTAAGCACATCTAAGAAGTTTGAAAAAAAAAAATTCACTACCATAAAGGTCTGCTAGCTTTCATACACCTAGCAGTCCCTTAGTTTTTTTTTTTTTTGATTTTCTCAAAAACTAAAGGAGCACCTATTTTTAATTAGAAGCCTTAAATCGGCACCTCAAAAGCACCTAATTATTATATTAGCCCCGAACTTTTTTTCCACCATGGGACTGCTAGGTTTATAGAGCTCAAGTTTACCAAATTTGGCAATACTCTGTCCAAATCTTTACTAAAATAAAAGGTCAAAATTTAATTTAAAATAAACCTATTTGTTATTTTTTGAATCTGTGGCATCTGTGGTTATGTTGTCCTCTAAAAACAAAACATTCGTGAACACGCATGCGCGATGCTCTGAATCGATGTTTGTTGTCCTGCCCCTAGACGCTTGTTAAAAACATCCTTCAAAACAAAATGCCGATCCAAGAAGTTATTTACGTCTTTTCTGGGAACTCATTTTTTATGTTCGATAAACACATTTGCTGGCTAAGCAAATGTCCTTTTAATCACTCTAAAGAAGAACAGAATGCGTGAAGGACTGGCTAGGAAATCTTGCATCCGCAGATCAATTCCTAAACAAGGATTGCTATATCCTTGACCCTACGTTAGTCACTACTAGGAAAAACTTTAAGCAATTTCATAAGTGTATTAATGGACAATAAAACTAACATAGATTAACGGCCATAACTAGAGGTCCACTTATTTATTAATTAACTTTAGGATTAAAAAGCGGCCAATAATTATAGATTTTTTTTTCAGTATCGACCGATGGCTGGTGCCACCTCAACCAACAAATTCACCAAACTCAAAATCCGTTATTAGGAAAATGTTATCCTACAGACCCTATTATCTAACGATACCCTATCTTAGAAACAACTTGGTCTACCTCATATTTCTGTTTGGATTCATTTTAGTCAATTTAGGACTGTTTTTTTCCAGATCGATACAGTATCGAGACTCGAATTGGTTCACGATTTTTGCTAGAGCATGTGGTGAGTAAAATTGTTCAAAAATAAAGTTTTGATTAATTTATGTTTATTTTATTAGGACAATGTCTAAATTTCGATTGTGCGTTTATTTTGATCCTAATGTTGCGCCGATGTATAACCTTTCTGAGAACCCGAGGGTATGGCAGCGTGCTACCTCTGGACCAGCACATTTACTTCCACAAAATCGCTGGATGGCTAATTTTCGTTCTCAGTTTTTGGCATTCGGTTATGCACACCTTCAATTTCAGTAAGTACGAAATTTGCTTTAGTTTAGTAAATTAATTTGTTACATTTTCAGCTCTAATAGTAGTCAACGATCCATCAGTAAATGGTAGGAACTTAACGACCAGCGAATGGCTTTTCACAACCAAACCTGGAAAATTTGGTTTAATTGATGGCTGTGCTAATCCCACAGGCGTTGCACTATTTTTTATCCTTTTAGTTATGTTTATTTGTTCCCAATCCTTTGTACGTCGTGGAGGTTGTTTTGAGGTAAGTGGCGTAGTCAGGGCATTTTTACGACTTGAAACTACACGAACGCAAGTAGGTACCTATATAACTTCTTTTGTATTTGGGTACATTAAAAAAGAAATGCTTAATCTGGGAAAATTACAGATAATTATTAGGTACTCATCATATGATCTATTATTGGTTGAAAACAAAGCGAGAAATAAATAAAATAAATAAATACAAACTTGCGCGTTTTTCCTGATTTAACATAAATACTCAAACACGAAAAACAATGTTACGTATAAACCCCCAATCACGGGGGTTATACCTACAATATTTCCCAAATATTAATAATTTAAAAAACCTTTACAAATATTATGCTTTAGGTATTCTATTGGACCCATCTCATGTATATTCCATTCTGGATACTTTTATTGTTACACGGACCAAATTTCTGGAAGTGGTTCATTATACCCAGCCTGGGATATTTGATAGAAAGAATATCAAGGATCGATACTGTGTCCAGCAAAGGAAAAACTTATATCAGCTCTGGACTTTTGCTTCCATCGAAAGTAACGCATTTGGTTATAAAGAGGCCGCTACAATTCGATTTTCATCCCGGTGATTATATTTTCGTGAATATTCCTGCTATTGCCAAGTACGAGTGGCATCCATTCACTATTAGTAGTTGTCCAGAACAAGACGGTAAATAGCCTATGTTTTGCTTGGTCAAATAATAACAATTTTTTAAATAATTGTAGATTATATGTGGCTTCATATTAGAGGTGTAGGCCAATGGACTAATCGTCTTTATGAATACTTTGAAACAGAGCAAGAAAAACTTCATAGCGGTGAAATTGGACCGGTGACGTCATCGTGTAGTAGTAACCCAGCTAATAATAACACTCAAACTCCTCCTTCTTCTAACGCTCTAACTCAAATCAGAGCCACTATCACAAGAACTTTATCGAGAAGGGATAAGGATCATAATAAAAAAGCGGCCGGTATTCAGCTGGTTGGATTTTCAAATGACACTTTTGAGCACTCTGACGAACCACCGAAAACTCCTCAGGGAGATGCGACTTTTACTATTAGATCAGTTCCTAATTCGATAGGTAAGAAATTTAGAAGACAAAATACTTGTATGGTTATTCACCTACGAATGTATGTACAGGGTGTCCCATTTAAGATGGTATTGGGGTTATCTACTGAACTCGTAGAGGTAGATTTTTTGATTTCACATTCCTGGGGTATTTTTTATGACGGATCGAATGCCGCAAACCTCGAGTCTCTATCTTGTACCGGTTTGGAGATACAGGGTGAAACTTAAAATTTTCACTTTTCAAGGGTAGTCATTATCTCGCGTAAGAAAAAAGATATCGAAAAAATGAAAATTGTATCTGACGCAGTTTTTTACATAGATTTCGTGCTGGATTTTTTTTCGAGGTACCTTTCAAGAGATATGACGCAAACTTCATCTTTTTTAAATGGGACACCCTGTAAATTTTTCCCTTTTTCGAATACGCATAAAATTACCTTTTCAATGACATATAGTTTGTTTATATTTATTTGTAATTTGCCAAATTTATTATGGTATTTAAAACGTTCCATAATCATCCTTGGAAATCACATTAAATATTTGGTTTTATTTTCTGGTTTAATATGTGACGTGATATACAAAAAAAAATAATTATATGGGACACCCTGTAAAATAATAGTTTATTATCATAAATTTGTTCTCATATCAACGATATAGATATTACACTTTATAGTTATATCTCTGCTTTAACGTCAAGAGAAAATAGTTTCTGATTGCAAGGAAAGGAAAACTGATGTCATTCCGGATTAACTGGTACAGCAAATCGAGCAGCAAATATCATAAAAGAGAAAATTAAATGTCTCACTAATGCTCGGTCTAAATTATATTGACAATATAACATTTTATTGAGCGAAATCCCTGGAAATTTAGAATTATTGTAAGGAAATGATAGAAAACGATAACGTGTGTATTTGTCATTGATTTTTTATAATATTTTGTCCCCATCTTAAAAACAAATTGAATTTAAACACAAAACACTGCTAACCAAAACAGTCCAGTTTAATTTGGTATAGTAAAAATGAATGTTTATCAAAATTTGGAAAGGTTGATATGATTAACACTTATTATGAGGCAGGTAAAAATACTACTTTGGCTCTTCAACAATATCAAATTAAATAGCCAGAAAGGCACATAAATAGAAAGATATTTAAGTATCTCTTGGATTATTATAGCAAACAATTTTGTAAACCCAGATTGGGAAAGCAAAGCAACGAAGAAGATGAAATCAATGCTATTGGTTATATTTAGTTGCACATCGGAACGTTTCTTTCTTGTAGAGAAGTAGAACAGGCTGTTGGAGTACCTAAATTCAGTGCCACTTCCAGCAGGTATTTGAGAAAAAATAATTTTAAACCTTATGCGATCAGACTAATCACTACTGAAATCCCACCGACCCACAAAGAAGGTTACATTTTTGCCATTGGCACCTTGAAAAATATCACTTAAATGGTCTTTCAACAATTAACGGCATTTTTAATCGCCATAATAACCACCGCTGGGCCTCACCAAATCCACATGATAAAGCTATTATCAATAACCAAGGAAAACTTAGTTTTAATGTGTGGTGTGGACTTAAAGGGGACACAATTATTGGGCCAGTAATTTATGGAGATAACTTGCAGAAAGATATGTGCGTTTTTTGGAAGACAACCCAAAACCGTTTGTGGAAGAACCTGATGCTAAGCTCTACGCTAGAGTCTCGGCGAATTACTACCAATTTTGCAATAAGGGAATGGGTAAGCGCATTTTTCGAAAACATGAACGGTTATTGGAATATTCAAAAATTACTTTGTCGTCCAGTTTGAAAGGAAACCAAACAAATTTGGTGGATGCCAATACCGAATTTGTTATCAAATGCACTGTTCAATTTATAGTTTCCATCACTGTTGCTGTTGGAAGTTCGAAAGATAACCATGTTTTATCTTTAAAAACATTAGATACCTAACGGCTATAAGAAATAAGCAAAAATCCGTGTTAGAAGATGGAATTTTTGCATTGAAAATCGCAGCTGTCATTTTGATTTTTTTTTTAGTTTCCATCGTTTCCATTTATGTTTTCGTTGGTTTTTCAAATGGCCATTTCCACCAACTGTTTTATGCCTGTATTACATCTGTGTATTTTTCCGTGTATTTATTCATGTAGTTCAGGGTGACAACCGAAAACTTCAAACGCAACCTAATAGGGAACTTGCACATTAAATTAAATATGAAATAAATAATAAAATACAATAACAATCATCCTAATAAATGATGCAATATAATAATATAATATCTTATCTCTGGTTTTCAAAATCTTCAATTGAAAATACCAAATAATTCGAAATTCTGGACAAGATCAAAAACGTATTTCTATGGGTCCTGACGTCAAAGGGCAGTAATAATCGGGTCGCACCGCTGCCACACCATGTGCTGCTGGTGTTGCCACTGTCAAATCTATCATAAACGGCATACATAACAACATAACCATAATCTAAATCGACCTGCTCGCAGGTCACTGTCAACCAAGGACTGTGAACGGAATTTTGTTGCTGAGTGACGTCACACTAATCGGTCGTTTCAAATGGCGATGTTTCGAGCGTAACTTCAAATATTTATAAAAAATTACGGCTGATTTTTAATGCTTGATATTTGGCATGACTATGTCTTTAGTGTCGTGCAGCACATTTTTGAAATAAAAAAAAAATGTGCAAGTTCCCTATTTCAGCAATATGAAAAAAAAAAAAAATGTTGGCACCCTGAACTACATGAATGAATACACGGAAAAATACACAGATGTAATACGGGCATTAGGGGAGCCTCAACGATAAGTATGCCCTAAACTGACATTTCCCCATGGAAGACTGTCATTTTAAGGAATACTTATCGTTAGGGGTCCCCTAAAATAATTGGTGGAAACGGCTATAAGAAGATTACAAAATATTATAAAAAATCAATGACAAATACACGCTATTGTTTTGTGTCATTTCCTATTATAATAATTAACTCTGCGGATTTCACTATCAAATAAATGCTATATTATTTTCAAAATAATGACCATCAAATTCAGTTACCGAGCATTAGTAAGATATTTAATTAACTATATAAAGTGGAATACCTATATCGTTGAAATGGGAAATAATATTTGATTCAAAAAACTAATATTTTACAGGGTGTCCCATAACAAAAAATTATAGGATTGTCACATATTAAATCAGAAAATAAAACCAAATATTTGATGTGATTTCCAAGGATTATTATGGAAAGTTTTAAATACCATTATAAAATTGGCAAATTACAAATGAATATAAACAAATTATATATATCAGTGAAAAGGTAATTTTATGCGGATTCGAAAAATGGAAAAAATTACAGGGTGTCCCATTTAAAAAAGATGAAGTTTGTGTCATATCTCTTGAACGGTACCTCGAAAAAAAAAATCCAGCACGCCAATGAAATCTACGTGAAAAACTGCGTCAGATACAATTTCCATCTTTTTGATATCTTTTTTCTTACGCGATATAATGACTACCCTCGAAAAGTGGGAATTTCAAGTTTTACCCTGTATCTCCAAAACTGTACAAGATAGACTTGCAGTTTGCGGCATTCGATCCGTCATAAAAAATTGGCCCAGGAAATCCAGGAATGTGAAATCCAAAAAAAAAACTACCTCTACGAGTTTAGCAGATAACCCCCAATACCATCTTAAATGGGACACCCTGTACATACAGAAAAGTTTACCTACTTTTTTGCACATTTCTTGATGCGAGAAGCAGTACTTTTCAAAACGTGTGCGGTAATTTTTTCTTTTTACCTGAATATAGTTTCAAATATGTACCTATCAAATGGGCTCTTTCACTAATTTTTGAAATTGGCATATTTGGATAAAGCAACTAAAACCAGAATTTTCTGTATTTTTACTTTTGAAAAATTCAAAGTCCTTCTTGAGAAAACAGAAAACAAAGAAATACCTCCAAATAAAAACCCAGAATTTATTTCTATGACGTCGCAGCTCGCAATTTGACCGTGTTGCCACTAATTGTCAACATTGAAAATTTGTAATAGATTTAATTCTGAAATGTTGGCAAAATCTCATGAAAAGTAGTTAAATTAATTAGTTATAGATTCAAGATTTTATAACATTTTTTTTTTAAATTATGCTTAAATACAATTTAATGCAATTTTTTATGTTTAGTTTTATTTATTTATTTTACGCTGCACTACATTTAGTCACAACCAACAACAGCGCATTCGAACCTTTACGTATCTTTACAGAGCGCAAACACAGCCGAGCCCTTCCTCCTTGCAACGACATAAGCGAAATGAAGAATATTTATGTGACGTCGGCAAATCGGCGCGTTTTAAAATAGTTTGAATTTAGGCACTTTTGATTGCCTATGAAAAACTTATTGAACCTTGTAGAACATTTTTTTTTTGGTATATATGCCTAAAATAGTCCCTCCTTTGAGATTTTATACTTAAATTACGTATTTAAATTTTAGTGAAAGAGCCCATTATAAAAATAAATATGTATTTCTATTGATTTTTCTACGTAGCTGTGGGACCGGCTACGTCTATTGTCATTCGTTCGAAAGGCATTCCCACGTTTTACTGTTTCATTTGATCCTTAGATCGTGTTTTGGGGCCTTGTCTTTACATCCTAGTAATAGTTGACCTAAAAGAGTCTGTCACGGATTTTATCCAAGGTCTTGTTGACTCCCAAGTAAGATCCGGATATCCCATGATGAATATTGTGAACGATTTTACCATCTGCTCTCTCTCAGGTTCGGTTTCAGTAAACCATTTCCGACTATCAGAAAGTCCCATTGATAAGAGTCTGGGGAACAGACATGCGGAGCTTCGTAATCCGTGCTAGTCTTTTTATTTTTTCCAAACGAAACAGACCAAATCGAAACTAACCCGTCCTCTTAATTATCTAAAATCTAAAAAAATCCTAAAGCAAGAAAAAACCTGAAAAAAAATGTATCGCCTTCAGAGAATCGAACCCGGGACCATTTGGCAACGAAAGGCGTTTCAGCCATTCCTAAACAAACCAATCAGGATCCGTGCAACATTTTTGTGAATTTAGCCACACGCGGAATATCGTTCAGCATCCTCCGGAGCTCCGTCTGTCTGCTTCCCAGACTCCTTGGTCCCATTGAGGTCACAGCGGCTTGAAAGTTGAGCTTCTAGGTAACGAAACTATGTGGCCAAGAAAATCAACGCGCTGTTGGAATAGTTAACACTTCTTGTCATTTAATCGGAGGTTTGCCTCACGAAAGCGAGTAAATACTTCTTGTAAGTAGGTGTTCATCGATTGTTTTTTCCATCCCTAACACATAACACATCATCCAAATAGACAATAAGGCATACTTTCCACGTAAGTCCTCGTTGTACGATTTCCATTAACCTCTAAAAAGTAGCGGGGACGTTAGTTACAGAGTCGAAAAGGCATGACCTTGAATTGTTGAAGACCACTTCCAGTGGAGAACGCTGTCTTCTCTTTGTCTTTTTCGTCAATGCCCACCTGCCAGTATTCGCTTTTCAAGTCCAAAGTAGAAAAACAATTTAAGTCTGCCAATGTCGTAAGGGTATCGTCATTCTGGGTAATGGGTAGCTGTCTTTCTTAGTGACATCGTTAAGCTTTCTATATTCGACGCAAAATCTGGTAGATCCATCTTTCTTTGTCACAAGTACGATTGGCGATGAACACGGACTTGAAGACTCTTCAACAACTCCCTCTAAGTGGTTGACGGTTGACGGATCGGATGAGCACTGCTAGTATTGATTTCATGTTTGATGATGTTCGTCTCACCAGCTTCGCCATTTTTATCCTCAAAGATATCATTGTTCTCACAAAGGAACTGTTGAGCCTTCTTTAGTTCTGTAGCGGAAAGATGCGTCGGATTGTCTTAGAATGTCGCCAGATGATTTAGTTTTTCAGCTTCACACTTTGAAATCCTTTTGACAGATTCATATAGCCACTTGGCTATGACATCGCCCCTGTTGATTTGAATAGGGTTTGACAGAGGTTGGTTGATGGCTATTCGGACTGGTATAATTCCTTGTGAGTTTACCAAAGTTTCTTTGACGAGGTATTTATTGCAAGTTTGGTGTGGTTGTACAAGTCCAAGAATCATTCTCCAACTGTCCACATATAATTTATTCGGTGTTGCCTTTTATTTTCACAGTTTATGTAGCTTTTACGGAGGCGACCCTTGGGTTTGGACAGTACAAACTCTTCAGTGCCAAATTTGAGGATGTTGAGCTGGTTGTCGAATGCAAAACCATGTTGACAATTAAGTCGATAACCGAAATAAACTCCTCCCCTATATAAGCAATCAGCACTGTGTGGCAGGTCTTGATATTTCCCAGTATCAGGTCAATTTCTGTCCCTCCATGCGCATTTGTAGCCTCCCCAGTAACTGTGCGCAGAATAACTCCACTTGAAAGTGGCTTTGCATTGAACTTTTCAGCAATGTTGGAATTTAGTAAAGATACGGCTGTGCCTGTGTCCACTGTTATGATGATATTTCTCTCATTAGTTTTTCCTTCAATAGTCAAACTGTCCGCAGTCTTTCCGAGCATTTTGATGGATATGATTCACTCACATTAGCCAACTCCCGCCCCTCCGTGTTGACTAATTGTAGTTTTCCTGGTTCTCCTTTGAAGGCTGAGAGTCACGAGAAGGAGAGCGAGATCCTAGCCGTACTCTACAGTCATGTTTCAAATGCCCCTTTCTACCGCAGCGGTAACATTCAATGCCCTTTTTCCACTTCCCTTTATTGCCTCTGGACCATTTTCTCGTATTTATTCCAGAATTTCCTTCATTGTGTCTTTAAGTTTTCCCACTGGTTCTTTTTCCTCTCGTATTGACACAGCTCTGATCTAAACCAAAGCTTGGATATCATATTCCGTTTCAATTTATAGGGTTTTGAGTAATACAGAATTCTATAGAAGTTTGTAGAGAAAGTTTGTAGAAAATTCCAGAAAATCCTCTTGTGGAATTGTTTTTCGATGTCAAGTCCGGTAATAAAGTTCCTGATCCTACTAATTAGCTCAAATTAATGCAGCTTACCTGTCTTACTAATAGTCTCAGTTCCGACAACAAATTGTCACGGATTCCGGGGTTCACTGAAACTTACTTTACAAACAGCAAATTTTATTAAACTAATTTACTTTACATAAAATTCACAAATCACTTGGGAATTGAAACGTACACGTCAAATATAGAATTGAAACTGACTTTAAAAACTTATTACTACGCGCTATTTTAAGACGTAATCGCGCTCGGGATTTAGCTAGAAAAACATCGAATCGAAAATAATAGAATTCTAGGAAAAGGCGCGCTTCCCGATGTAAACAAGTAATTTTCTCAGAATCCTGATGGAGCCGGATTGTCGATGCTTTTTCGTGATAATACTTTAGACAGGAATTTTCATTTTTTTGTAGAGTATATTATTTATTTGTGATTAACATTGACCAGTAAAACCACAAAACCGTAACATAACGAGAAAACTATTGAAGATTCTGTGATAATAATTAGCGCAAACCCTCAATGAATAACCCTAAAATACGTCACATGTAGGGGGACAAACAAATCATGGATGTCACATGCCTAAAGACAGTAAAATTATTCCAGGAAGTTCAAACACACACCTCTGGTATTATAGGCATTCAAAGCTCACTCTGCTTCTCACATTTTTATTTTTTTTTATAGAAATATTTGGATCTGCATATCCTGATTACCCTTTTCTATGTTGTTGTAAATAGAAAATATGCGCAGAACAAAGTTTCAAGAAATTGGACTTTCAGAAGCATAGCTACTAAGCACTAATGAGCTAAAAAAACTTTATTTTTATTTTAGATAATAGACCAAAAAGATTGTCACCAGAAAATCGCTTGCAACGTCTAATATTCGCTAAAAGGGCGCCACTAGAGAAATCCTTGTCACTGCCTGATGTACAAAATAATGCGAAGAAACGAGAAAGGATGTTAGCGTGAGTAATGCTGAGAGTGGCTCAGTTTTATTTGAGTACCTACATATTAACTTAATTTATTGTGTTGCATCCTATCCTGGATGAGATTATTTTTGAATCAAATAAAAATTAAAGCTCAACTCTCAATTCTTGAATATATATTTTTTTAAATTTCAGATTAAGAGAATATATGCGTTCAGAATCAGAGAAAAGTTTTGATCAGTGCCAAATGAGAAGAGCCCGCATGAAATCACTAGGCCTGGCATATCTGAGCCCTCAAAATAAAAGCTTAGCTCAAAGTTTCAGATACATGCGACACAAACCTACGATAATTGCCTTTAAAACTCCGAGTTTAGAAAATTGCGATAAACAAGAATCTAGCAATTCATTTGTATCACTGGGTAATTCTTGGCTAAGTATATAATTCCTGGATCTATACTAAATTAAATTATTTTTAGATCAACATAGTTCTTACTACAGTCCCGAAAGAAGAGCTGAAGAAGGAAAATCTTTTCAGTTGCACGATATAACAGCCGCTGATCCGAAATTGAAGCATATTAATTATCCTGTTGGTAAACCATTGGAGGTAAGTCAAGGAAGAATATCACTTTTGAATTTACACTGAATTGGATATTTTAAATAATAGGCATCATATTTTGGAAGTTGTATTCGTGGTGCTGAGAGTGATGAACAATTGGTTAAGGATATTAAAGTTCAATATTCAAATACAACTGGCACTGAGGTGAAAATAATGTCTGTTTAATGTTTTGCTTTGCTTTGTGTGCAAACTAATTGCCAAAAATTTGTTTTTGATGTTCGATGTGTTGGTGTGCTCGTGTTCCTGATGATGGCGGAAGCCGAAAACGGTCTGCTACGCTAAGTTTTCAATAAATTTGAATTTAGCATGGAATACAATTTGTTTCCTTCCTCACTAAAAATTTGTTTTCCAATGTGTTTTTTTTGCTAAATCCGTATATTAGGCCCATTAAAAAAATCTAATTTTTTTATGTTTATCATAGATTTACCTCGACGGGCCTTATGGAGCTCCATCGAGTCACATTTTCAGAGCTCAACATGCTGTTTTAATAGCCACTGGAATAGGAGTTACTCCATTCGCCTCAATTCTACAATCCATAATGCACAGATACTGGAAAGCGAGGCACACTTGCCCTAAATGCAAATTTTCGTGGGCTTGCGATATTCCTGCGTCAGTTATGAATTTGAGAAAAGTGAGAATTTTTATATAAATACAAGAAAAAGGTGTTTAAGCTTTATTTTAGGTTGATTTTTTCTGGATTAACCGCAATCAACGATCCTTTGAGTGGTTTGTTAATCTACTATCTCAACTTGAAATTGAGCAGGCTGAACTTGGAGGTGCAATGGAAAGATTTTTGGAAATGCACATGTACATTACCAGTGCCTTACAAAAAACCGATATGAAAGCAGTTGGACTTCAACTAGCTCTGGATTTGTTGCATGAAAAAGTGAGTAATCAAAGTGCCAATGGAATCTCATCAGGTCTTCGGTCTACCCTACACATTTTTCCTTTTTAACTAGGAAGGTATTGTCAAGTTTATAGTCACATTGGGAATATTTTTGTATCTGATGATATGAATTGGCACTTTTTACAGAACAAGTACAATTTTTTAATACTCAAGCTTATTTTACCTCTAAGAAATGTCTCATTAATGGAGACTACAATATTGCCAAATATTTATCAGATTTTGCTGGCAAACAACCAAGCAAACAACACCATATCCTTATTTTATATTTATCAAATTACACATTCTAGGTCACAAACATTAAATATGAATTATTTGTTTCGTTTAAAGGAAAAACGAGACCTTATCACCGGACTCAAAACAAGAACAAATGCGGGAAGACCTAACTGGGACAAAGTTTTCAAGCAAATATCAGATCAGAAAAAGGGTAAAGTGACAGTGTTCTACTGCGGCCCTCCACAATTAGGAAGGATTTTGAGAGTAAAATGTGATCAGAATGGATTTGTATTTAGAAAAGAAAGTTTTTAATCTCAAACACTATTAAAAAAAATAAGTCAAAGGAAACAAAAATTTAGTGTTAATTAAATTCTAATTGATACTTTTACACGATTCACGTATTTTCATTTACACAGGCATTTACCACATAAAATTGAGTCATAAGTTATGTTTTATGTATATTTATAATTTTTTTTCTGTAATTTTTGTCAATATGTAGCTATGTAAATTATTATAGCTTTTAAATAAATGTACCTACACACTGTAGATAATTATATTAATGTATAAATAGTATGGATGAGTAATTTTAATTTTTGATTTCTATTGTGCAACAAATAAAAATCACAATAATTAGACAATACATTCGTTTTAAGAAGTAGTTTTATTTTTTGAATCCCTTAAAGATATTTTTCCTTAGATAATTAAAATTAACAATGACAATGACAAATTTCAATTGGCTAGATATTGTCCATCGTTTTTAATCCGACACTTTCCGTATGAGAAGCGAGGGGGTGAAGCATATGGCAAAAACAGGTGTGACATCAGATGACCATTGGCGTTCTAACATAGAAAGCCACCAGCTCACATTTGTTTGGAGTATCAGATTAAAATCGTCGGACTCTACATAAAAAGAGATCAATCATTTTTTACTTACAATAATAAAAAAATCTATTCTCTATTCACTTGAGCAGCCTTCAAGCTTCTTAAAGCCATCTCAATAGCACCATCTTTAGTCTTGTTCCCACCAATAAAACCAGAGGCATGGCAAAAAATGCACCCATCAATTTTAGCAATGGCGCTCAGTTCTTCATCACGGACGCCTCTCCAGTCTTTATGTAAAAATACTCTACGCAAATATAAAAAATAAATTAGTCAATCTCCTCGAGCATAAAGCAGAAAGTTGCAAAACCCTAGTAGGTATATTATTTTTCTACAATTTTGCAAGTCTGAACATTGTATCACAGAGCTTTAATATACCTAGGGTGACAACCTTTTGGGTTTTAACTGCTAGAACTGAAAGTAAAAAGTGAGTAAGTAATAAAATTCTTCATTGGTCATGTGCGAGGTCATATATCAAACAATATTCTATGAATAAACTACCTCTTAAACACACATACTAGACAATTTGGATTACCAAAGGGTAGTTAGTGTGCTGCTATTTGTGGAAACGATCTTTAGAGTTATCTTCATCTATCAAACGATTATAAAGTTGTCCTTTACGAAGATGAAACATCTATAAATTGTCTCTAATCCAAATCTTAATTTATTTCGCTTATTACTATTGAGGCGAGTATTATTATCACATTGGTTCTGGCCACTAAAGTAATTCTTAATGGAAATTAAACCCAACAATCTATAAGGTGCAGAAAGTGCTTGATCTCCATCTCTCCCTACACAGAGTTGATCAGGCAATGTTCTTCGGGCATGGAGAGATTGGAAGATATGGAAGATTGTGATGACATCAATCAGTTCTATTATGTGGTAGCCCAATATTTGTGCAGACAGATTTCAAGTGAGATGGATCCCAGACGCTATGTGACACACTTGTCCTACCAGACTCCATTTTCTCTAGAACCAACGTCGGCTTTGGAAATCTTGGAAACATTGAAGTCTAGCATCACGTACGCTTCGGGATGGAATAATATATCTCCTTCGAAAGATGTTTTTTGGTATAATTATGTAAAGTAACTCTTTAATTCAAAAGAAAAACTCAAAGTCTTCCTCCACAAATACTTTAATCATTTTAAACGGCCCTACATTCTGATTTTCTATTCCAAACTTAAACCTAAACTCATTTATTTTTTGATGATGATGATGGAAAGTACTTTATTGTCCAAGAAATATTACATGTAATAGGTCTTATTGACAAAGCATAATTAAAAATAACCTACCTACTAATAACAATTGCAACATGTTATTCAAATCTTAACAATAAATTTGTCAAACAATAAAATAGCCTAGAATCAAATTTAATCAACAAAAAAAAACAAAAAGTGAGGCATGTAACAAACAAAGGTAAATGTTAATTTTAACAGTGTATACACAATACTATTTAGTCAATATATTACCTACTAAAATTAAGACCATTCAAAAAACTCGTCAATTGTGTAAAAAGCTTTCTTCAAAAAAAATACTTTTAGCAGGTTTCGGAATGCCTTTTGTGTTGGGGCGTTTCTAATTTGCAAACTTATACTATTACAAATTTTAATATCATTGTAGATGAGAGACCTCTTAACTAAATTGGAATGTGGTCAGATTCAGATTCTTAGGCAGTGGGATAGAATAGGGTCGTTTCATGATTTTTTTTTATTTTTTCATTGAATTAAGCACATCAAAAACTATTCTTGGTTTTTTTCCCGCATTTTTTAGAATGATATTAAAGGAGATATCAGTGGCGGCTCGTGACAATCCAAACTGGTGAGGCCCATGGCCCATCAAGTTAACCCAAACAAACCCAAACAAAATTTTCAAGTGTTACGCCCAAATTTTGACCCAAAATTTCATCAAAAGAACATCTCGGATATGTATATTTCTAATGAAAATTTTCATTTCTTACAGTTGCAAAACAACAGCAGTAGGTACATAGTTCTTATTTTAATACAAATATTGAGTTTCAAATTAACAAAATAAATTCCAAAAAACAGTTTTTTAACCCGCAACAGACCAAAATAAAAAGTATGAGCCAATTAACCAATTAAATACTTGTCGCAGCAGCAAGCGCTGCAAGGTTTCTTATTAACAATAACAAGCCCAAAATTGTGCGCCTCAATACCTATAAAAATTCGCTATCGTCTCCCCTACAGTTGAAGCGTTGTGGTGGGGAGTGCCGTGGCATCGCTTCGGCGTTCTGTGACGCACATGAGGCCAAAATTTTTGGGATTGCTATTTTATTTTAATGCTGTCCGGCAACGATTTGAGCGCCTATAAGGATAAATAGGTAGAAGCGCGCGCTAAATTCAAGAAATAGTATTATATTTTAATGAAAATTCGATGTTTTGATTCTTTTAATGATTGAAAATAGTTGAAAAACGTTAAATATTTGATAAATATTATTTCAAAATTTTACGTCATTATTGTAATTTTTACATGTGAGGCCCGGCCTCAGTTGCTTTATACGACGAGCCGCCACTGGGAGATATTTCAATTTGAAATTTTACTATTTTCCGTTATTTTTTAAAAAGGGTTTGACGTCACAAGGCGCGCTTGCGCCCTGTATTTCTAAATTTAAGTTTGCATCACTGACAGAATTTGCTAGTTGTCTAGTTGGCTACCCTGCGACTGGCATATGTCCCTCTTCTTTTAGAGGTTATGTCAGTTGTTTTGTTATTTATTTTGATTCGCCTCCATAGACTGGTTGATTTATAAAATAAAAAATAAATACTTATTTCACCCGTTTATTTGTTTGGTTTATGTGAGAAGATGGATAGTGGATTTATCAAAGCCTCTAGCGAAAATTTACCTCAACTAAATTATGTGATGCTGCAAGAGTTTTTTGCCAAAAATACGGATTATTTAAGTGCAGAAATAAGAGGAGTCAAAACAGAAAGGTGGGTAATGAAATATTGGCATAATTATTGTACTGGTTTAGCTTTGGCTGACTATTATATTACATTTTTAGTAGCAGGGTAACAGTTTTATAGTTTCATATATTTTTAGGTCAGCGAGAGACAGTTATTGTGGGTGACGATGCTATTGGGTGTGTGCAGTTGAAAAGAGACAGCAGAATATCCTCTGTTAGGAGCATTGTCAGATGGAATAAGTAAAGAATTTGTGATTGAAGTTGAATGTCCTAGCAAGGAGGAGACTGTGAAAAATTACATTAAGAAAAATGAAAATATAATGACGAAATACACGTGCCAAATTCAGTTACAATTGTTATTGTGTAATAGACAAAAAGGACTGTTTTGTGTGGCAAGTCCCAAATTTGGAGAGGATAATGAAATGACAATGTTTGAATTATACTTAAACATTAGGTTTCTCAAAGTAAATATTGAATCAGCTGAAGAATTTTGGAAGTCATTTTGAATAAAAATATATGATTGATTTGGGAGTCTGGTAGTTTTCTTCTTTACATTATGTATGCATTAAAAGTACCCTTTTAATCCCCAAGGTTAAATTTCACTTTATTTCCCAAGAGATTAACTTTTTACTTTATTTCCCATGGAGTAAATGGAACAGGAAATAAAAGGGTACTCCGAGCCGAGAGAATAAAAAACACTTTAGTGCTGAGATGTATACACTATTTTATGTACTTTAGAGGGATCAAAAGTACCCTTTTAATTTTTAATCCTAAAGTGCATAAAATAGTGTATAACCTCAGGACTAAAGTGTTTTTTAATCCCTCAACAAATTATAGCCCTCCCTTTGGGATTAAAAGTACCACTTTGGTCCCTAGATGTATAGTGTACTATTTTGGCTGTTAAAAAAAAAAAACAATAGGTTTTTTTTTATACAATATATTCAAAAAGCATTTTTTTCTAGCTTTGACATAAAATTTATTTGATTAATGGTCCCTGCAAATTCACTATTCCACAAGCAATAATTATTAAATAATCAGTTTTTGCTACAAGCTGATGGTCAATGCAGGAATATCCTTCGAGTATTGCAAATTCTCACAATCTTTGTATCACTCTTTCCATATGGATTCGTAAGCTGGCAATTCTTTTATTCAGCTTCTTAACAAACTTCGATTCTGCCTAAATTGATATGTGAAACCACATTTTTCTTCATACGTAATTTGCAGTTTGTCATCCTAAACTGCATCCAGTTATCACAATCTTGTTCCATCTATAAACATAATATAATGTTCATATTTTAATGACGAAAATAGGTGTTTATAAAATGAAATTTGGAAACTAAGTTTACTTACATTGAAATGATCTTCGCAGCAATAAATTCCACCAAAAATACTAGACAATATATTAACTCTTTCCACAGCTAAACACCAATTTCTTATTTGTTCATTTTTGGGGTTTGGGATTTAGATTACTGTTTTTACAAGAAGGCACAAAACATTTACGAAGATCCATAGCCAAACAGTGAACATTAGGTAGGCCTTAGGTGGGTACACTGAAACTGAAATGCATGCTCTATTTGAGTCTTTAACATCAAATAATGAGGAACAATGACTGACCTTGAATTTATTACACGTTTCTTTTAAATATTTTTCTTGAAACCTCGGAAAAACCGTTGAAAAACTCAAAAAATAATGAAAATATAACAATGGTCGACGACAATCCAAAATAATAACAAAACAACATAACCTCACAAAATTGCATATGTTGATGGATTTGTTTACAACAGCTTTGCGCATGCCCGCCTAGTGACGTCATGGGAGAAAGAGACCAACAATTCGACAAAAAATGTTTAAATTTTAAATTAATTTAAATGAACCAGGAAACGACCCTATTGTTCTCACGGGTTTGATATACTTGCTGGTGATTCGGAAGACAAAGTTTGTTTTTATGAATTAAGCATGCTGTTTCAAGGATAAAAAGGGAAGGAAAAGTAAGGATACTATTATGGATGAAGAGATTTTTACAGTTAGTTCTAGGGTGAGCATTACACAGATTTCGAACTGCACGCTTTTGGAGGATGGAAACAGATCGAAATAGATACTGTGCACAGGCTCCCCAAAAGGGTAATGCATGCCTAATATGGGATTCGACCAGAGCAAAGTACATACTGCGAGCTACTTCCTTACCAAGTTCTTTGAAAGTAGTACAAGTGTCAGCCATTTTCTTTGATCTTTGCGCTTTGGTTTGAAGCGGCGAAGAGGAAAAGCTTTGCCGACCAGGTTGGCAAGAGCATTATGGAAAGCACCTAAAGGATCAGAATCTCCGAAAA